TTCTCTGGTGATTAGTGATGTTGAGCATCTTTTCATGTCTGTTGGCTATCGCTTTGTCTTTGAAAAAATATCAGGTCCTCTGCCCATTTTTTTTAAAAAAGTAAGCTCTATGCCCAACTTGACGTTTGAACTCTCATCACCCTGAGTTTAAGAGTCACATGCTCTACCAATTAAGCCAGCCAGGTGCCCTATCCTTTGCCCATTTTTAAATTGGACTGTTCGGGTTTTTTGGTGCTGAGTTGTATAAATTCCTTGTGTATTTTGAATGTTAACCCCTTATCGGATAGATCATGTGCAAATGTCTTCTTTCATTCACTGGGTTGCCTTTATGTTTTGTTGATTGTTTCCTTTGTTGTACAAAGCTTTTTATTTTGTTGTAGTCTCAACAGTTTATTTTTGCTTTTGTTTCCCTTGCCTCAGGATAAATATCCATAAATATGTTGCTGAGGGTGATGTCCAAGAAATTACTGCTTATGTTTTCTTTTAGGAGTTTTATGGTTTCAGATCTCTGTTTAGATCTTTAATCCATTTTGAGTTTATTTTTATGTATGGTGTAAGAAAGTGGTCCAGTTTCATTCTTTTACATGTAGTGTCCAGTTTTCCCAGCACCGTTTGCTGAGCAGACTGTTTTTCCCATTGTGTATTCTTGTCTCCTTTGTTAAAGATTAATTGACCATATGAGCATGGGTTTATTTCTGGGCTTTCTATTCTGTTCCACTGATCTATGAGTCTATTTTTGTGTCAGTACCATACTATAGCTTTGTAGCATATCATGGAATCTGGGATTGGCATACCTCCAGCTTTGTTGTTTTTTCTCAAGATTGCTTTGGCTATTGGAGGTCTTTTGTGGTTCCATACAAATTTTAGGGTTATTTGTTCTAGTTCCATGAAAAATACTATTTATTAGTTTTTTCTGAGACCTGGGTAGGAGAATCTGTTCCATGCCTCTTTGAGCTTCTAGTGATTTGCCAGCAAACTTTGGTGTTCCTTCCTATAGATGCATTATTCCAAATCTTCTGCCTTTATGTGGTGTTATCTCTCTTTGTTTTCCCCACATAATCTTCCCTCTGTGCATGTCCAAGTCCCCACTTTTTATAAGCACAGCGACATGTTGGATTAGGACCACTCTAATGATCTCATTTCAACTTGATTACCTCTGTCCAGACCCGATTTCCAATAAGGTCACATTCTGATTGACTGGGGGATTTCAAAGTATCTTTCTGGGTAGACGCAATTCAACCATAACACTCATGCTTGCCATCACCTGATATTCTCATCTCTTTAAATTCCAGCCATTCTATCATAGTATCTCAGTGTGATTTAAATTGGCATTTCCCTGGTGAGTGATTATTTTTAGCTCCTTTTCATATACTTCTTGGTTATTTGTGTATTTTCTTTTATTAGGTATTTTTTGAAGTTTTTTTGTTCATTTTTGAAACTGGATTGTAAGAGTTATTCACATCTCCTAGATAGGAGTCTTTTGTCTTGTAGATAAATGACACAGGTATTTGTGACACTGTATATATATGACACATTGTGTGCATGCATGTAAAATATCTTGCTCTAATCTGTGGTATTCCTTTTCATTCTTTTAATGGTGGCTTTTTTTGAGCAGAAGTTTTTACTTTGATAAAGTTCATTTTATCAATATTTTCCTTTATGGTTGATGCTTTTATGTTGTAACTAAGGAATATTTGCCAATTCCCAATTCATGAACTAATTCTCCTATGTTTTATTCTAAAAGCACCATTGTTTTGCCATTATCTATATTGATTTTTTGGGGGGAGGTTTATGATGGATGTCATGTGTCATTTGTTTCTATATGGATATTCAATTGGCCTGGTATCATTTGTTGAAAAGGCCATCCTTTCCTCACTAGATTGCATTGATAGTTTTGTCATAAATCAGGTCAATACATATATATAATATATCTCAGAACTTTTATTTTAATTATTCTTGACATTTGATATTGTAAATCCTATGGCTTTGTTCTTCACCTTCAATACTGTGTAGGTCCTTTAAATAGAATCAACTTGTCAATTTTCATCAAAAAACCCTGCTAAGATGTTGACTGAATTACACTGAATCTATAGATCAACTTCAACATAATAGATTTTAAAAATAAATATTGAGTCTTTCAATCCATAAATGTGATAGATCATGAAAAGAATACACTTTTAATATCTCTTCTAGTGGTTACAACCATACATCTTAATAATGTATTTCTATGAATTTATTAATCATTACTTACTGATTTCCTAGTATCACAGGTAAGGATTTTGTTTACCTTAATACACTCATGTTGGGGTGCCTGGGTGGCTCAGCTGGTTAAGCATCCTGCTTTGGCTCAGGTCATGATCTCATGGTTCGTGAGTTCAAGCCCCACACTGGACTCTGTGCTGACAGCTCAGAGCCTGGAGCCTGCTTTGGATTCTGTGTCTCCCTCTCTCTCTCTCTCTCTGCCCCTCCCCCACTCATGCTCTGTCTCTCTTTCTCAAAAAAAAAAAAAAACATTAAAAAACATATGCTCATGCTTTCCCCTCTACTGTCCTGAGCATATAAAATATAACAACTGATTTAATGTGCTTGTCTGCTAGATATATAGGTAGGTAGGTAGGTAGGTAGGTAGGTAGGTAGGTAGGTAGATAGATAGGCAGGCTTCTGGGTCTGCTTCTATTAATTGAAAATTTTTGTTTATTTTGTGTTATATTTTTCTGCTTCTTTGCCTTCCTGAAAAATTTAGATTGGATGCCAGACATTATGAATTTCACAATGTGGGTGCTCGATATTTTTTATACTTTTAAATATTCTTGAACTTTGTTTTGGGATTCAGTTAAGTTACTTAGAAGTAGTCTGAGTTTTTGAGGCTTGCTTTTAATCTGTGTTAGTGGGGGTCAAGCAGCCTTTAGAGCTGATTTTTCCTCACTACTAAGACAAAATCCTGAGTGCTCTATCCTATTCCTATGTATTATTGGGCTTGTGGGAAAACAAGCTATTTCAACCTGTGTGAGGTCTGGGGATTTTTCTGTGTTCTCTTCTGGTGATTCTTTCCCCAGCCTCAGGTAGACTCCTTACATGCACGTGGTGATCAGTAATTACCTGAAGGCTAGAAGAGAGACGTCTGCAGATCTCCAGAGCTCTCTTCCTGTGCAGCAGTTTCTTCTCTGAAACTCTGCTCTGTGATTCATGGCTTGTTACCTGATATTAAATCTATGAATATTTGAATCTTGGAATGGTATCTAGATGACTACTTATCAAGAGATGAAAGTACCTTGTAAGTTCTCTCAGGAAGAACCTTCGACATAGTATCCTATGTTTGGCTTTAATAAATATGCATACTATATTTGTAAGTGTATATATATTGCAAGTATGAATCTTGACTCAAACCAGTGCAGCTCATTGTCCCAGGCTGCTTGCTTCTTTAATTGTTTGATTCTATGGCTTCTGTGCTCTGCTGGAGCAGGCAGTTTTTGGTGAGGCCAGAAACTCCTGTTCCCAGAATCGAACGCACATGCAACCATTATCCTTGGGAACTTTTGTTTCCCCAGAGGCTGTTGGAAGCAGGGAATATGTACCCACAGCTCTAGGACCCAATTTGCCCATCCTCCTCCTTGTCAGGTGGAAGCTCTTCCTCCCCAGTCTTCTGGCCCTCAAATACTTGTTTCCTTAATTCCTGGCTTTCCCTTCCCTTCCAGGCTGCATCCTCCTTCCTCAGCTTTGCATCTTCAACAAACATATGGAAGGAAACACATTATCTAGATATCTGATGGGATTAGGGGAGAGAATAAAGTGGTACCACTGAGTAACACTGGGTAGTACCAGTGTTTTCATCTTCACCAATCTAATAGAGCAAATGTGATAACTCTCGGTTAAATCATTTGCATTTTTTCTGATTATTGGGGAAGTTAAGCACTTCTTTTCATACACTGATGTTCTTCAGAGGATTAGTCTTCTGAACCTTTCTTTTCGTATGTTTATAGTTCATTTATATTTAATCTTCGGAGGAAGATTCCTTGTTCATTTTCCTTTGAGTTCTGATTTTCTTCTTAATTTGATTCACTACTTCTGTATTTTTCTTTTATACATATTGCAAATGCTTTATCCTCCAATGCCATTTGCCTTAAACTTTGTTCACATTTTTCTAACTGTGCATAAGTTTTATATTTTTATGGGATCAAAACCATGCATATTTTTCCTTCATGTTATCTGTGTCTCATGAAAAGACTAAAATTTAAAGAGTAAAACTCCAGTGGGCAAGAAAATAAAGTTTTATAGTGATGAGAAAGGTACCATGCTATGAGGAAAAAGGGAAAATCAGAAATAGTAAGCCATTTTAAAAGAAGAAATAGAGTTAAAGGATTGAATTAGAAAAATAGTAAGAAAGATAAACTAGGAATAATTACTATATACATAAGTTAAATTCTGAAATTAAAAGATGGGAAAATAATTATGAACCAGTGACAAAAACATAGCAAGAATTAAGCATTAATTGATAAAGAACAAATATCTTTGGGCTATAAAAGAAAAGTGAACTGGAGAGTAGTATGAATTTGAGTTTAATATTTTTTATAGAAGCAAATAGAGTAACATATGTGAGATATATATGTATACATATGATAATAGATATCTCATGAGGTAACAGGCAGTAGAGTATATTTTCTTACAGTTTAAGATCCATTTGCCATTAAATTAGTGTACCTGAAAAATTTTTGTTTTTCTACATATTAGCCAAACAATGGCATTATATACTGATTAATAATGAGTTGTTTAATATTTAGTTAGAAAATTCTACTTGCTCTTTAACAAAGTCCTATGCAACTTCTATCACATTCTTGTTGGTTAATGCATTTTCCAACTTTGGATCCACACAATATAGTATCATTTATAAGCATAGTTATTGTGGTCCTATTTTATTACTTAATCATGCAGAATGATTAAAATGGTATAATTAAATGATTAAAATGGCTATGATCGCAAATACTTGTTCTATTTTTTTTCAGATTTCGTGATTCATTGGAAAGTGATACAATTGTGGTTCACGCCATACAAAGTGATCACAAGATATCCTCCTATAGGCTTGTGAAGCCCTCTAAGTACTCCAAGTCCAAACGACCAAGTCAATCAGAAAGAAGAACAAGCAAATTGGAGAGATTTGAAAAAGAGGGAGCTGGAAGAAAGGATAGCCAGAAAGATACAGGTAGCTTAAATGACAGAAAGTCTTTGAATCCTTATTAAGATTTCAAAACTGAATAATCTTTTTATGGGCAGAACTTTCAAACCCTTTCTGGTTCTGGTGACTTGAGCTCACTCTGTTATTTCCCTTTCCTTAGTCCCTTGGATAATAATCAAGAGAGCTAGATGTGAGTGGTTTGGCTGAGAATGAGAGGCCATGTTCCTCCAGCAAATGTTTCACACCAGGTCTTTGATGCAGGCTGCTAAGGAAAACCCACCCTGGTTATGTGACTGAAGTGGGTAAAGAATACCTAATGCTGCTAATTTCTTACTTCCCGCTTTTAACTCTTCTTAAATCTAAGATTTCCCCAGTTGCTGGTTTCTAGGCAGTGTTTCTTTACAGATTCTTGGGCTCCATCCCAGAGAGTGGGGGTAGAGCATTTCAAACCAGCTTCTAAGTGCTTATGCTTTAAACAGAATGATGAGCTGAGAATTCAGGTGTGAAATGCACTTAATCTCTGTGGCCTGCCTGTTGTAACTGCCCTCAGGGTGACTGCAGATGATTAAGAGGAGGACAAGAATTCTGGGAATGACTTGTAGAGCCCAGTCAAAAATAAATAAAAGGCACTGCAACTAGTGCCCATGACACGGTACTGACATTAATGCTGTTTATCCTCTTTATTGAGAAAATGTTACTGGCTCCTTTCTGCCTCTGGGATAAATTCTGAAATCATTATCCTGGTATTTAATCCTTCCACAGTATATTCCTATTCTGTTTCCTGCAAATTCTGTTTCCTAGTGCATTTTCATACTGTTCTACTGGTGTTTTTAGCCTATTGTCTTGCTTAATGCTCCCTAAATATGCCAGATACTTTTAGACCCAGGCTCTGACTGGAATGACCAATTCACTCCTCTCTTCTCTGAATTCTACCAGTTTTTAGAGATTCCAGATTGAATTATACTTTTGTTATAAAGTCTTTCCATGACCACCCAAGCCACATTAAGCTCTTCCTTTTCCATATTACCGTATATTTGAAATATGAAAAGTGAAATGGTGAGTTATAACTATATGACCATCCCATATTATTATTTAACTTTCCCCCCAAAGTATCTCTAGAGTATATTTCTCCATAGCTTGAACATGAATTAAGAAATTGCCTCAGTAGATATTTAATTTAAAAATTTTTAAATTTTTTTTTTTCAACGTTTATTTATTTTTGGGACAGAGAGAGACAGAGCATGAACGGGGGAGGGGCAGAGAGAGAGGGAGACACAGAATCGGAAACAGGCTCCAGGCTCTGAGCCATCAGCCCAGAGCCCGACGCGGGGCTCGAACTCACGGACCATGAGATCGTGACCTGGCTGAAGTCGGACGCTTAACCGACTGCGCCACCCAGGCGCCCCTAAAAATTTTTAAATCATAGGTTTGATTGTGTGTTCCTGACTACTTTTTTAATTGGCCACAGACCACTGTAATCACTATAGGTCACCTCAAATTACATATGTCAAATAGGACTCGCTGATTCCTCCTTCTCCCACCATATCACAAGCGTTCCTACCCAACTTCCCAGTATATCTATCAGTGCCCCCTCATTATTTACCTTGTTTTCAAATTATTTGATATATGTCTTATCTTGCCAACTTTTCAGTTGTACATTAGAGCAAATATCGTGACTTATATCTCTTTATTTTGATATTGTAAAATACATATTATGGGATTGAATTCATGGTAGTTGTTTAACAAATAATGTGATTTACAGATTCAGTGTATTCTGTTTGTTTTAATGTGGCAGGTTTAAAACATATTTGAGAATTTCATTTTGATGTTTCAAAAAAATTGAAAACAAATAAAAGAAAAATGTTGACTCTCTGTACAGGTGAGAGTATTAATGTACCAGAAGAATCAATTATAGACAAAGGGAAGAAATTTCGGCCTAAAACCCTAAGTGAAATTATGGTGGAAAATCAAATTGAGAAAACGAGGAAACTTATATTAAAAGCTGAAAGGGCCCAATTTAAGATTCAGCAGCGAAGAAAGGAATGGGAGGAACTGTAAGTTTTCTTATTTTTTCCCTAAACTCTTTCATTTTAATATGAGTTCCAAAATATTTTTGAATAGAAACAGAGATGGAGATATTGAAGACAGATCAGCTGGATTTTTCAGAGTGGTGATACCTTGGTAGAACTTCTATGATTCCTAGGGTTTGGGGTCCAGGAATTCCATTTTGTGAATACACTCAGGGATTTTTTTTTTAAGGATTGAGGAATTCTTTTCAATCCCAACAAGTTATTTTTCCTTATGTTCTTCTAACATATAGTTTTTAGCTTTCATTTTTAGATGTCTAGTCATCTTAAGTTGACTTTAAAAAAACTCTGGCATGAAGTACTTTTATTTAACAAGCACATTTTTTACATTTTTTTTTGCCACCTACATATATTTTTGATGAAATATCTCTTCATGTCTTTTGCCCATATTCAAATAAGATTGTTTACTATTTTACTGTTAAGTTTTGAGAGTTCTTCATATATTCTAGATATCAGTCCTTGGTTGGTTACGTGGTTTTCAAATATTTTCTCCCAGGGTGTAGCTTGTCTTTTCATTCCTTTAACATGGTCCTTTGCAGAGCAAAAGTTTTTATCTTTTTAAAGCCAATTTATTAATTTTTCCTTCTATGAATCTTGTTTTTGGTGTCAAGTCTAAGAACTCTGCCTAGGCCTAGTTCCCAACGATTTTCTCCTATTTATCTAAAAGTTTTATAATTTTACATTTTACATTTAAGTCTATGATCCATTTGGTGTTCATTTTTGTATAAGATGTGAGCTTTAGGTTTTTGTTTGTTTTGCCTGTGGATGTGCAATTTCCCTAGCACCATTTGTTGAAAAGCCTCTCTCTCTCCTCCATTGAATTTGTTTTGCAGTTTTGCACCTTTGTCAAAAATCAGCTGGGCGTTTTGTGTAGGTCTACTTCTGGGTTCATAATTTGACTATTATGTGTCATTGATCCCTTTGCCAATAACACACTGTCTTGATTACTGTAGCTATGTAATAGGTCCTAAAATTGGTCCTCTCAATTGTTTTAACTATTCTAGTTACTTTGCCTTTTATATAAATTTTAGAATAATCTTGTCTGTATTTACAAATAAAGTCTTGCTGGAATTATGATAGAAATTGTGTTAACCTGTGTTATCAGTTTGGGGGGTGGAACTGATATATTTATTATGTTGAGTCTTCTAATCCATGGACCTGGTATAATTCTCCATTTATTTAAATCTTTGAATTTCTTTCATCAGTGTTTTGTTTTCAGTCCTACACATATTTTGTTAGAATTAGACATAAACAGTTTACTCTTTTGGCAATTGTAAATGATATTGTGCTTTGTTATTCAAAGCATGTTCATTGCTACAATGGATTTTTGTATGTTTATCTGGTATCCTGTGACCTTGCTGAAGTGTCATATTCTGAGAATTTTTTGGTAGGTTCCTTAGGATTTTCTGTGTAGACAATCTTGTCATCTCTTAATAAGAACAATTTTATTTCTAATCTAATTTGTTTGCCTTATTTCCCTTTATTTTCTTGTTGGACTCATTAAATTTCCAGTATAATGTTGAAACAGGGAAAGCTGGCATCTATAACTTGTATCCGATCTTAGGGGGAAAGAATTCAGTATTCGAACGGTTTTCATGCTCTTCAGCCTACCTATATTATTAGGTTTGAAGTTGGTGTTTTATTGGCAGTATATAGTAGAGTTATGTTTTTTTAACCTACTCAGTTAATCTCAGTTCTTCAATTGGTGTATTTAGCCACTTACACTTATATGATTTACACATGTATTTACTTATGTATTTACACATGTTAGTATTGATATTTCAGGCTTATATCTGCTGTTTTATATTTTGTTTTCTGTTCTCTGTTTTTTGGTTTTGTTTTCTTTTTCATGCTTTCCTGTGGTTTACTTGAATATTTTAGAGTTTCAAAGTGATTATAGTGTTTTTGAGAATATCACTTGTACAGCTTTTTAGCATTTACTCTAGGTATTACATTATGTACACACAACACAGTCCACAAGTTGACATTTTATCAGCTTGAATGAAATGTAGAAACCTTACCTGCATTTATGTCTCGTTACACCTCCCATTGCCACTTGTTTCCTTTGTTTATAATATAATTGTATAAATATTTTCTCACACATTTTAGCACTACATCAGACAGTGTCACGGTTTTTTAAACATTAAACATAACTTAGACAATAGTAGATGTAAAATGTTTTTGCCAATATTTTCACCATTAACATTTTAATCTCTTCCTTCTTCATGTTCTGGAGTTCCCTCTTCTATCATTTCATTTATGGTGAGAAAACTTCCTTTAGTCATTCTTTTAGGGTTGGTATGCCAGTGACAATTTCTTAGGTTTTCTTCATCTGTGAATAGCTTGATTTCGTCTTCATTCTGGAAGGATATTCTTACTAGACATAAAATTCTGTGTTGACAGTTCTTTTCAACATGCAAAAAGTGTTGTGCTTCTTTCTGTCGGCCTGGCCTCCATGGTTTCTTATGATCACTCTTCTGTCATTCAAATTGTTTCCCCCCTTCATATAAGGTATTATTTTTCTCTTTTTGCTTTCAAGGTTTTTTTTTTTTTTTTTTTGTCCTTAGTTTTCAGAAGTTTGACCATTATGTGTCTTGGTACATCTTTTAATTTATCCTTTTTGGGATTCATTAAAACATCTTGAATCTGTATGCTTGTATCTCTGACCAAATTTGGAAAGTTTTCATCTATTATTTCACATAGATTTTTGAAGCCCTGTCCTCTTTTTCTTTCCTTTCTTGGATTTCAATATCACAAATGTTAGATCCCTGAGGCTTTGTGTGCTTTTCTCTTTTTAATTTTTGTTGTTTATTTGTTTGTAGTGTCTTTGGGGGGGGGGGTTCAGACTGAGTAATTTCTATTGTTGTATCTTCAAATTCAGTGATTCTTTCCTCTGTATCCTTCATTCTGGTGTTGAGCCCATTCATTAAGTTTTATTTGGTTACTGTACTTTTCAGTTCTAAAATTTCTATTTAGTTTTTCCTTGTATCTTTCATTTCTTTCTGAGACTCTATTTTTTCATCTGTTTCAAGCATCTTCCTAGTCACTTGTTGAAGCACTTTATGATGGCTGCTTTAAAATCCTTGCCAGATTATTCTAACTTCTCTATCATGTTGGGGTTGGCAACTAGTAATTGTCTTTTCTTATTCAAGTTAAGATAATCCTGATTCTTTGTATGACAAATGATTTTTTATTATAATATGGACATTTGGGGTATTATGTTATGAGACTCTGAATCTTATTTATACATTGGGTTTTAGCTGACTTTAGCAGGATATATTCTATATTCATAATGAGATGAAGTCCTGTTCCCAGGGCTCACCTTTAACACCATCCCTGTAGGGGTTGTGTTGCCTTGTTAAAACCTGGTGGTGGTAAAAGGGTAGAGTCCCCACTTGACATTTGCTGGCAGGGAGGAGGTAGGCCACATTTGTGTGTATGTGTGCTGTGTGGCTAGAGTTCAGAGCATTTATTATCTAGAAGTTTTCGGTCTTACTATTCTTTTCTTTTATTGATCCTGTAGCTAGGAAGAGCAAGATTTTGTTGGGCTTTTATTGTCTAAACCCCATGGTGTTTCTAGTTGCTATTTTCTTTAGCTCCAAGTTGAGATATATAAGGCAAAAAGAAAGTCTAGAAATCTTACCATCATATACTTCTTTGGGTCCTAAGGTTCTTTGTAGTCTATCTTCTTTTCACTTTTCAGAAACTTCTTATCTTTTAAGTATAATGTTTAGGGGTTTTATCTGCACTTGCCAGGAAAAATAAGAATATGTAAGTCTATTCCATCTTCCTAGAGGTGGAAATTCTTTCCACTGATTTTATTATATTTATCTTAATCCAGTGATCTTGCTAAACTCATTTACTAGGTCTAGTAACTTTTTTCTTTCTTATGAACATGCTCATGTTGTATGTGAGTAAAACAGATTCTTCCTTTCCAATCCCTGTCTTTTATTTTTTGACTCATTGTGCTGTCTAGGATATGCACTAAAATGCATATGTACAATGATATTGTGCAATGCATACAATAAAAATGGTGGGGTAAAAACATCCTTGTCTCTTTTCTAATCTAAGGAGAAACATTAAGTCTTTCTTTATGAAATGTGATATCAGCTCTTTAGAAGCACAGTGTCAGATTGATGAAATTCCCTTTTGTTCTTAGTTTATCGAAAAAAAATTAATTTATTATTTTTATCAAGGATAAGTTGAATTTTATCAAATAATTCTTATATGCATACTGAGATGATCATATGCTTTAAAATTTTTATTCTTTAATATTGTGAATCACTGTTACTGATATCAAATGTTAAATCAGCATTCCTAGGATAAATTTCACTTGATCATGGTGTATTCTCCTTTTAAAAATATTGCTGGATTTTTTTTTTTTTTTTTGTAGTATTCTTGTCTGGTTTTGGTTTTGGTATCAGGGTAATGCTGGCCTCATAAAAAAAAAAAATTGTAACTCTTCCCTCCTCTTTTCTTATTTTTGGAAGAGTTTGAGCAGAATTTTTATTAATTCTTTAAGTATTTGACAGAACTCATCATTGAAACCATATGGTCCTGGGCTTTTGTTTGTGGGGAGGTTTTTGATTACTGATTCAATCTTCTTACTAGTAATTGATCTGCTCAGGTTTTCTGTTTCTTCATGATTTGGTCTTGATAGGTTGTATATTTTTAGGAACTTACTCATTTCTTTAGGTGGTCCAGTTTGGTGGTGTATAATTATTCATAGTAGTCTCTTAGGATCCTTTGTGTTTCTATGGTATCAGTTGTAATATCTCCTTCTTGATTTCTGATTTTATTTAAGTTCTTTCTTTGATGAGTCCAGCTAAAAGTTAGTCAATTTTTTTATATCTTAAAAAATACCCCACTCTTAGTTTCATTGATCTCTCCTTCTGTCTCTTAAATCTCATGTCATTTATTTCTGCTCTGAGTTTCGTTATTTCCTTCTTTCCATTCACTTTGTGCTT